AGATGCATTTTACCGAAAAGATGTTACGGAATTTTCATCGGCGTGACATAAATTTATTCGGCGGCGTGAGCTATTTTACTGTGGCGGCGCGCCGGCTAAATTTCATTGGCAGCGGCGGCGTGGCGCAGCGGCGCACAGGTCTACTTGCAAACCCAAATAAATCTATCTGCGTAAAAAAAAAATAAAATAAGAGTGATTTGCGGCAAAACCCGCCAGTATCACACCCAACGTCAGTGCCTATACGTAAGCGTACTACGACGCGACTCTCAATTAAAGGAGTAACAAGTGTGATATTATCACTGCTAGACTAGATCTTTGGTTCTCTCATACAGTGGTTTATCAGAGAGGGGAAGCTTAGTAATCCCCATTGCCTGCCCATGACGCCATTCTATCGCGGCATGAGCCAACAACGCCGACCACAAACGTACCGTCTCCAACACTCCACTATACAGCATGAAATTAAGCCCGCCCACCAACAGCAAGGTGCAAAAACTAGCCAAGGGGAGGGAATAGATGTTAAGAGTTTTTTTGTAATTAAAACTGGTCTACATTTGATTGACGACGAATAAATAAATAAATAAAAGAAGTCACGCTATCCCAAACCTCCCATTTCAATTCTTTCGAAGAATACAACTGAATTTTATTGAATAATTTTTCGCATTGGGAGCATTGGTGCTCAGCACCTAAGAGGAAGAGGAGACATCACCTTTATCACCTCTATCTCTATCTATCTCGATCTCTATCTTCTGCACTTCAAATCGGCCAATCAGGAGCTGGTTCGCGTTTGACAGAAAAGTGGTTCGTTTTCGCCCCTGAATTGTCTTCTTTCCCTCTTAGCTCAGCACGGAAAACAAGATTGATGGAAACAAAATCAAGGAAAAAAAATTAAATAAAAAACAAAGTGTTTTGTTTCTTCATACGTGATGTTTACAATTTTCAGACTTGGGAGGAAATGCTATACTAATATCATCATGAAGATTTAGTGCGATAATTTATAAGCTAGAGAAAGTTCTGAAGAGGATAGATTAATAGTTCCACTGGAGTACAGCAGTTTGAAGATTGAACAGAAGTTGAAATTGAGCGAAGGGATATTATTACGACAATACTAATCAAATGCGCACTCCTTTACCCACTTCACTTTAATGGTGAGGGGACTTGAGGCATTTTCTCAAATCCACAGGCAAAAGAGTGAGCGTTTGACTTGCTCATATACTGTCTGCGGCTGTGGAATAGTATATCACTACCTAAGGCTCCACGTTAACGAAACCATTTCCATGTTGTGGTTTGTTATTGAGCGATCCCAGACAAATTCGCAATTCCATTAATTTTAATATTTTTTTATTTGGTTGAAAATTTTCAGAAACGTCCCTCATATGAGATAAATGTGTTCACAGATACAGAATCATGGCGCAAATCTTCTGAAATTACTACATATCGTAACTGATTAATTTTTGCAAAAAATTAAAGAAAAAAAATGATGAATTGATGAATAGAAGCTTGTTGTTTATTCCAGTGATGACTTCGAACTTCTTATTGTAATTCAAATGTATAGTTTTCTGAAAAATAAATTATTACTACAAACAGGGTGCCTTCCATTCATTTTAGCTAAACAATGTTTTATGACATTACGGAATGATATGATATTATGACAATATTTTGGTTGTGAAGGAACAAGAAAAATAGCGGCACTGGTGGTGTAAGCGTGATTACTTCTCACCCCAGTCGGCGCCGCCGGGATTTTCTGAGGCATAAAATCTCTGATCACGCGTTCCTTCGAAAGTAAAGCCGTTGGTCCCCGGTCCATGAGTTGATGGGCCGATAAGCAGGGTCCAGATGTGGGAGCTGCTTTCCTGGCGTAGCTAGCATTGGTATTCAATATGGAAAACAAGATCGACGGAAAACAAATCAAGGAAAAAAAAACATCAAGAAAAGATTGTGAAGTTATACAAAATATCATCATAATATCTCATGATCCTACAATTCCATACATGGCTCGCAAAGTTGGAAAATCAAAATCATATGTACACAAAGTGAAGCAGAGGCATGGGATGAAGGCGTACAAAGTGAAAAGGGTGTCCAATCGTAATGATAAGCAAAATTTCACTGCAAAAAGTGGTTCTAAAGAGCTTTTCACCCAGTTTTTGCAAAAAATTCTTGTATCAAAATGGACGACAAAACATACCGCTTCCGGGCTTGGCTTTTTACACTACAATGCAAAGAAATGCCGTTTCCGAGTATTTCCGGACAAATAAGCTTTCGAAATTCTACAAAAAGTATTTGGTTTGGCAGGTCATATGTAGTAGCGGCCGGTAATCCAAAAGTTTCATCTCTACCGGCACTATCAACAAAGATGAGTAGAAGAAAGAATATTTGCTAATGTGGTTGCTACCATTCATCATAATCCACGACACTCCAGCTCTGATTTATCCTGATTTGGCCTCTTGTCACTATGCAAAATAGGTCCTGGAATGGTGCCGAAACACATCGTGGCACAATGATCGGCACGTCATGCTTTACGATGACAAGTATAACCCAAAATATAACAAAAAACGGCATCACTTTTTTGTGTTGACATTTTGCCAATCGTTGCTGAGGTTTACTTCTTTTTTTACTTCAAAGTAAAGGGGAAAGGGATTAACTTTGTCAGTGCCTTTTTCCAGCGCAGTTTTCCCTGATTTTAATAAGACATAGTATTATTAACGAGACTCTCTTTGTCCTTATGCCTTCTGAGGGATGAACCTCTACAGAAAGTCCACACGGCTTTTGAGAGGCGTCCATAGTTTCAGAGAAGTCCAAACGAATTAGTCAGAGTCATCACGCCCCGCAAAATAGGTCAGAATTAACTAGAATCAATTATTAACTTGATTGCCATAAGATCCGGACCGAGAGTCAATTGTATGGGTAAGGAGCATTGCAGTGATAATGTACGGTGTCAACAACAGTTTGAACGATCTTACCATTCTTCAGATGTATCTGCAATCGCAGCTGTTTCTCTCGCAGAACCACCCGGTACAGCTCATTCTATGGACTGAACTAGGATTCGATTGACTGTGGAGGCTGGCGGAGTCAGTGGATCCCGTATTAACGGTTTGCAGTCGTTCTACGCTCTTTAGAAACTGTTCGTATCACCGACGGCAACAGCAACAATAAGAAAGATGCTGCTAACAGAATTGTGAAGGTAACGACACTGGTGATAACAGAGCCAATCTGAATCGCGGTATTGTTAAATAACGCAATCGGAACCGGCAGCAGTTTCAGGGAGATTATTATGCCATTCCGGTATGACCAAGGATACAAAATATGAAGGAACGACAAGTAACATACAAGGAGGAGGTAGTCATCAAACGACTGCAACCAGTATCGAGATCCTGAACCGACATTTATTTGGATAAACCATGGACAAAGTAGGTTGTCCTCTCATCCCTATAAAATGGAGGGGGGGGGGTACCTAACAACGACTGCTGACACTGGGAAACTACTGCAGGTTTATTGCTAACACTACTACCGCCGGTGGGCATTTTAGGTCGAGTCCTTATTGTTTTTCAGGTTGTAGCATTGCCCGTGTAACATGATGATAATTGCAGACAAGACTTCCATTTGCCGGTTGGGTACTTCGTTTCGGCAAACGTCTGCCAGAATGACGCACGATGCAGAAATGTCTCGCGGATGTGCTAAACTTCGAGTGCGTAATGAAGCGGATGACCGGCAACCAGCTCGTTAAATATTATATTGGAATTAAGTTTCACAACTTTTTTTTCCGCATTTGTCTTGAAAATGTAAACACACAATCCCAAAAGTCATAAGTGCAGGGTTACCACCCTCATGGGTTGCTGAGACTGATACCTTGATTGCCACATTTTGGCAAGTTCGGTACAACGCTTGACCTATCTTTCGGCACTGATAAAGTACTCGGCACAGATTGGAGTTGAACACCCCTTGACAATAGGTCAAATACGTGCCAAAAACAGCCAATCCGCCAAACTGTCCAGGACTTCGCCCAATAGAAAGGTACTGGGTTCTGGTTAAGCGGAAACTATTCGAAACAAAGAGGAAAGCAAATGGCATCAATGATTTCAAGAGAAGATGGAGGCACGCCGCCACTAAGGTATCTGAGGATACTGTTCGGAACCTGATGGCGGGTATCCCACAGAAAGTTCGAGAATTTACAGACAAAAGAATTAACATTCAAATAAGCTACACAGCACAAAATAAATTTTATTATTACATCCAAGAGGATACACTTCAATCATGTCGAAAATCTCATGTGATTTTTATGGCCACAAAAATAAACATATGCAGTAAAAGCAGCGTAATGTCACTGTATTAATGATAATTTTGTCCTTTTTGGCAAGTAATATTACACCATATTTGCTATCGTTATAAATCTACTTCACTGAAATAAACAATCGGTGTTGTTGTATTATGTGTAGATTTGTTTCTCGGCATCAATAGTTTACAACATTTATCGTGGACAGGGTGTCTGATGTATCTTATACACCGTATTCGTTTCAAAAATAGTTATTATTATATATGCCAACGTGAAACTTTAAAATAATAAAATAAAACGTTGACAGTTAAACGTATGAGAAGATTAGTTCAATCATAATCATCAGTTAGCTATAGCTTAGACAGTTCACGCTAGTGTTCGTGATAGCCATTTTATTTCAATGAAATCGATCATGAGGCAAAAAAGTTGCACTCGGACCAGATCTAGTTTCTAATTATTTTTCCATAACAGTCGGAGTCGAAGTCGGTACTATTTCTTCGACTCCGACTCCACATCCTTATGCTCAATGCGTCCGATTCCGACTCTGACACGCTGCTAACTCCATATGCTGTACGGTGTGATGCATTGAAAAGATTCTAGGTACTTCACAATTACGTCTGAAAATGTGTCTCTAAGCTGTCCCAAAGTCCGTTGACACCTATTCCAGCATTTTTAAATACGAAGTACCTACCCATGCTATCCCACCCCTACAGCTGTTGAACTGCACACTTACAATGGCTTCATCCATGGTGATTGGCCTACCGCCGACAAGTTTCAGCTTCGACATTTCTTCGCTGTGATTTCTGTTTATTAGCCTTCAACTCACTAAAAATACACCGGCACCATAAATTCACACCGCCAGCCAGTCGACACTTTCCGCTCTGCAAACCTGAGAAACGCTTTCTTCCGTTTTGCTGCGATCGTAAATTTTCCAACCAGACGGTTCTATAGTTCAGGTTGGTTGGAGGCAAGAGTTGTCTTTTTTCATGGCTTTTCTTGTCACCCTTCACCGCACCTCTTAACTAACGGTTATCAATGCTTGAATAAGAGAGTCGAAAATATCTTAAACACGCACCCTGAACCGCATAAACGATCTCTTCTCTTTCAACCTCCGAATGTATGCAAATCGTTACACAAATTTATATCTATCGCATTCGCAATAAACTGCTATCACTAACACGATCCAAATCGGAGAACTTTCTTGTTAATGGGCCTAATATAAATGTTTCACTTGCTGTGGAATCGATGTTTGAAAATACCAAATGAAAAACTTTCACTGTAAACCAACTGTGTATCGCTGACACGATCTCCCAGATATTTGCTGGAAACACGCGAATGCTGCACACGTTGTCTAACTTGAGGCGCGCATCAAATTAAAATACAACACAGAAATAAATGAAACAGGTGAATGAATTGGATTGGGGCTCTAGGCACATTCAACCCCGACGACGGGACGTGCTTTTGGAATGGGGCAGAATATACAAAAACTACGGACACTTGGGAACCGATTGAGCCTTTTTCTTGGAGGGGCGACTTGCGGTTGAATTGAGTTCTTCCGACCGAATGGTGCGAAAATTGGCGTGAAACGAACATTTTATGAGTGTCTGGCGGCGGCGGCGACGACGACGACCTACGAGCAACGATGTCGTGATTTAGGGGGTACCTTCGGCGTGAAATGTGAATCACAGCCGGAACACGGTTGCCCGAAGTTGTGACGAATCGGGATTTATGTGAATGAAAAGAGTTCTTAGCCTACGGAAGTGGTGCCATCAATTTGGAGTCATTGAAAGACAACTCTACGAAGCCGAAGGAGTATAAACAAAATTACATATAGGCTGCTAAAGACATCGATGATGGTAATTCTTCCTTTGCTAAACAAAAATATTCATCGATATTCTTCTTTGGCCACACTGTCATCTTGCAAACCCACAAAAGCCGATTGCAATCGTGCTCCGATTGGCCCTAAAGGAACTATGCTCGTGGTGCAATCGTTTATTGCCGGAGCCCTCCTCTGCAATACCTATAGTCACAAAACAGACCGTGGCTGTTGCCATGTTCCGGCAGGTAGCCACCATCCAGCCGTTTGTTTATTTGCCTCGGCGAGAAGCCATCAGGCAACCGCCGATCGACCAGTCCCAAATTTGAAGTACCCGCCAAATTATCGAGGGTTGTCGTGCTCGGTAATTGGTGCTAATGTTCTCTTTCGTTCAAATCGATAGCTAAAAGTCGCAATTGTTTTGTTTTTGTTTTAGGAGTGGGGGGGGGGTACTGCTTTTCATGCCTTTTGGCGTTCCCGGTCAGATACATGGCGACCCGATTTTTTACGGAGCTATTTTGGGGAAAGTGGTTTGGTTTGGGTTTTTGATTTTGGTGAGTGCGAATTGCGGACTTCCAGGATGGGGTTTTAAAATGAGATAGGAAAGGTTTCATGGATTTGATCATATTTAATTTATCTGGGCAGATTCTTTGCCATGGTTGTGATTGTTCTATTGAACCCATGGGCTGTGGGCAATGATTTATGTATTTATTTATTTATGTATTCATTTATTTATTTAATAATTCATCTGACAAAGTTGTCTTGATGCATAAACTATTCGTTATCTTATATAAGGTTCCTTCTTCTTACTTTATTCACAAATTGAGGTGTGGACATACCAAAATTAACGCGGACTCGACGGATACAAACATACGAACCATTGCACAAATAGGCTGGTTGTAGCCATAGAGAGTACGATGAAAGCTCGGTTGCATCAGAGATTGCTGACGTAACATCCTACCTGAAGCATGGAAATCAAGCAGTGACAGAAGATGAGAGGAATTTACGTTACCGTTGAGGGCCTGTTCATAAACTACGTAGACAGTTTTTTGGGATTCTTGACCCCCCCCTCCCCCTGCGTACACACTTAGAAAATAATACCGAAGTCGGTTTAATTTTCTACCGAACTACATCGGTTACCAACAACGAACCGAAGAATTCGTGTAAATTAATTTTTTAAGGCGTATTTTCCGAGTCAAACCCAAATTTCGGTTAAATTTGACAGATAGGAATGAAGACTGAACCGAAAAGTACGGTAAAGTAGCGATACTTACCAGTTCGGTACTTGAAAACCGAGAAAACTCGGTAAACTGAACCGAATATTCGCTAAACTTTCTCAAACGTCAAACTCACAACTTCGGTTCAACTTCACGACGGAAATTTTAACCGAAACTCGGTTTTCAGCTAAACCAAATATAGTCAGCCATTTTTTCTCGCGGGTGCGCGTTGTGTTTTTTTCGCAAGACGTGTTTCTTCGTTAGTGTCACACGGTGAATTGATTTGAAAATGGAAAAACTTCTGGAGGAACTGCATGTTTGATTGAATTCCATGTAGGAGGCATTATCACGACGTGTGAGAAGTTTTTTGTTTCCCTCAAGGGGGTTAACCCTCTCTTTCCCCCCGCACAGGTGAGCCATAATTTTCCGGTTCGTCTCAAGTTTGTTGTCAATAGTTAGTACATACAAAGCATATTTATGTATTAAAACAACATCTGACAAATATAATATAAATCATGCATCTCATTAAAAAAAACTAGTTTTATTTCTGATTCGAAACATCGTAAGTTTTTGGATTTGAGCACTGTCAAAAAGAACCGAATTCCGTGATTGCAACCGGTGAGTCGGTTTGTTTGACAGCGTTCGGTAATACTTGGGTAAACCGATGTTCGGTTATTCCTGCTTGAATTGACTTTTTGTCAACCGAGTTTTTTCGGTTAGTTTGACAGGTTGTGGGAAAAGAAACTTTAACGAACACTCGGTTGTTTCTATTTGAACCGAACAGACTACCGAGCGTTCAGCAGATAAAAACTCGGTTGAAATTGAACCGAGTTCGGTACTATTTTCTAAGTGTGTAGACAATTGTCCATACAAATGTTTTTAAATTTGTATGGGCCGTGGATAATTGTCACCCCCCCCCCCCAACTGTCTACGTAGTTTATGAACAGGCCCTCAACATTTCGAGGTCAAGCAGATGGCATCTATCGACGTCAATCTATCCAGCGGGACAGCCTTAACGAATTTCAAAGTTGATACGTGTTTTGGAATGTACCAATAGCGTACCATAGCGTACCTTCAAGGATTTTGGATGTACCTCAAGGCTTCCCGGAAAACCCGTGTCCCGCTGGATAGACATACGATTTCAGCAATGACCAAGTCGATCGACCAGATTTCTACGGAAATGTGACGTACCATATGCGTACTTTACGAATCTGTAATTCATTTTTAACGTACCTCTTATTTTCACTTAAATGCTTATACATACTAAACTTTTTAAATCGGTTTATATATGAATTCTGGGCACGGAATTGGATATCTCGTAAAATTTTAGCCTGATTTCATATAAAAAAAAAACTTTATACTTAAGTGCATTCTAGCCAATTTGAGGACCAAAAACAGTTTTTTTTTTAATTTGCATCCCTTATAATTTCGAACCAAACCGTTAATTTCATGAATAATTATGGAGACGCACGGTGCTGCTTGGAAAACTGCATCATGAGAAATGCCTTGATAACTTTCTGATCGGTCATGACGAACGTACCGACCTGGTATTCACTTTTCGATAGAATTTACCAGTGATTAAAATAAAAATGAATAATATTTTAAAAATTCAATTTATTCGATGATACATTAGAGAAAATCTGATTAAATGATCAGATATCTTTCAGAAACTATGTCTGGATATAACGGGTGGCAACTAAAATTTTGGAATTTCTTTCTCAAGCTGTCAAAAAAAGACAAACATATTTGAAGAAGATCTGATTTATTGAAATTAAAGATACATCGTCCATTGTTGAAAAAAAAATTAGTGAACATTTGAAAACGGTCCGTAATCGGATGTTCGGCGAAGCTTCCGTTTGATGTCGGAACAGGAGCGTTGTACGGCCTTCATGTCAACTTTGCGAATGCATCTCTTGATTCTACCAATCAACTGTTTGCTCTGACTCTGATCTCTTGATTCTACCAAAACAACTGTTCGTGGCTCTCCAGTTATTTTTGTACACCAAGGAGCTCAAAACCCCGGAGAAAACTTCGATTGGGCGACACTGAGACAGATTTGTCGGGTTGTAGTTTTTGGGTACAAATGGGATCGAATGGGTATTCAGGAACGATTGTGTTTTTTTGGCGTAATGCGATGACGCTTTATTCGGCCAAAACACGTATTGTCCATCAGCATGATGTTTTTGTAGAAACGGGATCAAAATTTTCTTCAAACATTCGTTCTGGTACACATATTGATTGATTGCCAGTGAATCCTTGTTGTTGAAGGCACGAGAAAGAGAACGAAGTCCTTTTGCGTCCTTAATTTTGGCTGGTCTTCCACTACCTTGCTTGCGAGCAGTTGTTGGGGATCTTAAGATATGGTAAACAGTCGAAGCCGCAACATTTTCGCTTTTAAAATGTTGTACCGTATACTTTTTGCCGAGATTTCTGTGCAGAAAGAGGAGAGAGAGAGCTAACACATACACACTCTTATTTCTCTCTGAGCTCGTTTGTTGTTGAGCATAGAGGCCTCAAAAAAATTCCAAAATTTTAGTTGCCACCCGTTAGGTACGTTAAAAATGAATTACAGATTCGTAAAGTACGCATTTGGTACGTCACATTTCCGTAGAAATCTGGTCGATCGACTTGGTCATTGCTGAAATCGAATGTCTATCCAGCGGGACACGGGTTCTCCGGGAAGCTTTGAGGTACGTTCAAAATCCTTGAAAGTAGCTTTGGTACGCTACTGGTACATTCCAAAACACGTATCAACTTTGAAATTCGTTAAGTTTGTCCCGCTGGATAGACTGACGTCATCGATGTGGTATTCATAAATTATCGGGTCTTTGGATCACATGACATTTCGCGACGCTCATGACAAGCTTGTTCGAGCGGCACCAGTGAACGTACATGTTAAGCAACCTTTGCAGGAGAAAGCAGTCCTTGATGCAGTGTGCCACCACATAGATTTTTAGATCATCAGCATATACGAGCTTGCACTCGGTAGATGCAGCGTCATTGAAAAATAACACAAACAGTAACAGTCTTAAATTACTTCCTTGTGGGACATCGGACGTGCTGTTAGAAATGACAAGCTCTGGTATTACTTTGCTCTCAAGGTCGGCTAATCTACTTGCTTTGGGGAGAACACACTAACGACCAAACAACTCAAGGGACAGGCAGACCCAATCAGAAAACCAAGGACTATGATCCAAAAGGAAAGTGGCACAAACACAGTAAGCTCAATCATATATGTTCATTTCAGATACATTTAATATGGGGGGTTCGCTTGTTACCTTGATAACTGGTGGTTCGGTGGCTGCTCTGGTGTTTAGTGGCTCTAGACCGGGCGGGGTTCTTCGCGGCCATCGCTGTTGACGACGCTACTGTCTGCGGATGATGTACACCGTGAGGTAATACTGGCCGCACTGCTGCGAAGATCATAATAAAAACAACCCTATCGTTTGTTAGTCCATGTTCAATAAAACGCAGTACAGAAGCATAGTTTCTTGTGTGTTCATAATTCGGT